ACAAGAATGTCAATACATCTCAGTTATAACCATCTCAAAAGAAAGAGATTAGCAGAATGGACCAAGAAACAAGATCCAACAACATGCTGCATACAAAAAATAAATTGAAGTCCAACAGAAGCTCAGGGAATGAAAGTCAAAGGATGGAAAACAATACTCCATGTGACAAGAACCTGGAAAAAAGCAGGGTAGCTATTCTGTTTGCAGACAAAGTGGATTTCAAGGCAAGACAAAGACCACTACACACTTATTAAAGGAACAATCCAAGAGGAAGAAATAATCATAAATACATATGCACCAAATAACAGCACACCCATCTACATAAAACTAGGAGCCAGGTGTGGTGGTGCATGCCTGTAATCCTAGCCCTCAAGAGGTTGAGGCAGGAGAATCAACACAAGTTCAAGGCCAGCCTGGGCTACACAGTGAGTCCACGCCAGCCTAAACTACACAGCAAGACCATGTCTCAAAAAAAAAAAAACAACCAAAAAACCGACTAATGGATATGAAAAATCAGAGAAGCATTAATATAATTATAACAGGGGACCTCACAAATAGATTAATGAGACATAAAAACAACAAAGAAATATCAGAGTTGAACCAAACCTTTGAATAAATGGACTTACAGATAGATATTTACAAGTTTTCCACCCAAAAACTTCAGAACACATTCTGCTCAGCTGCACACAGGACTTTCTCCAAAACAAACAACATACAAGCTTGTAGAACATGCTTAAGTAAATGTAAAAGAATTGAAATTATCATATGCATATTATCAGATCATAGTGCAATGAAACTGGAAATCAATGGCAAAAGAAACCACAAAAACTTCATAAACACATGGAAATTAAATAACACCCTCCTCAACAACCAATGGGTCACAGATGAAATTAAATAAAAAATGAGACAGTTTCTACAATTAAATGGTAATGCCAGTACAACATACTAGAACTTACAGGACACCACGGAAGCAGTCCTATGAGGGAAATTTATAGTGCTGAATTCCCACATCAGAAAAACACAACAAGGTCAAATAAATAACCTAATATTGAATCTTCTTCTAGAAAGGTTCTAGAAAAAGAAGAGCAAGTTAAACCCAAAGTGAGTATGAGGGAGGAAATTATAAAGATCAGAGCAGAAATTAATGCAATGGAGACTAAGAAAAGAATACAAAAAAACCAATGAATTGAAGAGTTTGTTCTTTGAAAGATTAAAATTGACAAATCCTTATCCAACCTTATAAAAAGAGGCAAGAAAAGACTCAAATCCACCCAGTTAGTACTGAAAAGGGTGAAATAACAAGGGATTCTGCAGAAATTCAGATGATCATCAATACTTAATCTGAGAACATATCCTGTAATAAGATGGAAAACTCAGAAGAAATAGACAGATTTCTACATACAGCACAATTTACAGTAGCTAAATCTTGGAAACAGCCCATATACCCATCAAAAGAAGAATGGATAAAGAAAACATGGTGAGTACTACTGTGCCATAAAGAAGGATAAAAAATCATTTCTAAGTAAACAGATGCACCTCAAGACCATAATTTTTAGTGAAATAAACTGAACATGCAAACTTAAATACTGCATTGTTTCTCTTGTGTGAGAAACCCAAAGGGTAAATAAGGAGCATAATGGAGGATAACTATTGAGAAGTAGGAGGAATATGTACAAATGGGAAGAGGAACAAGGAGTGGGAGTAAGAAGGAAGGGAAAAGGAAAAAAAGAGAATGGAAGAAAGAATGGAAACCGTTTATAAATGGTGAAGGGAAGAAAGGTTGGAGGGAGGGAAGGGAAATGGGGAAAAAAGAAAAGTTAAGATACATGATGTGCAGGTACAAATTCCCTATGATGAATGTGATCAATATGTATGTCAAGTATGTACTAATAAAAAAGTTTAAAAATTCAAAATAATAAATAAATATCCCTTAAGAATAGTTTGGCCAGGCATGGTGGCACATGCCTATAATCCCAGCACTCAGGTGGCTGAGGCAGGAGGACTACCATTAGTTTGGACCCAGCCTAGGCTACATAGTGAGACCCTATCTAAAAATAATAATAATAATACTTCGATTTTCTTAGGATATAATTGTGTCAAGTATAGAAAGTGATTATAAGTATTCCTTTTATTTCCTTTTTATATTAGTTTTATCAAATCTAAAATGTTATCCAACTGTAAGACATAGTATTATTTTTATACCATCAAGAAAAAAAGGCTGGGGCGGGGATATAGCTCAGAGGCACAAGTGCTTGCCTGTTAAGTGCAAGGTCCTAAATTCAATTCCCGGTACCAAAAAAACCCCCCCAAAAAACAAAAGAAAAAAAGGCTGTCAAACTGTGACCTGTCATTAATTGTAAAATGTATCCTGCCATTAAAGATGATAAATGTGAATCTTACAATCAACGGAATAAATTGCTGTGATAGATTTTGATCAGAATTTTGGAGTTATATTAAACCCAAGCAATAATTAGGACCACTGCACAAGGTTTTTTTTTCCAAACTGTATGTTTAAGTATGCATTACACTGGCTTTTAGCGCTAATTACATCATATTTACCATGTTAAGAAAGCAGAACTTTAAAAACATTTTTCTTTAAATCAAGATTTGAGTGGGGTGTGGTGGCACATGCCTGTAATCCCAGCACTTGGGAGGCTGAGGAAGGAGGATCAGCATGAGTTCCAGCATAGCCTGGGCTACACAGTGAGTTCAAGACCACCCTGAACTATATATACAATGAGAGCTGATCTAAAAACAATAAAATAAAATGAATTAAGATTTGATTTTGGTCTGAGAGTGTAGTTCAGTGGTATAGCACTTGTCTAGTATGTGAAAAGTCCTGGGCTTGAGCTCCAGAACAATCAGAAAAATAATGATGGCATGAAAGAAAATTTAATGAGTATCAAATAATTATAACAGTAAATAAGAAATGCTATAAGTGGAAACACATGTAAAACAGATAAAAATACATTTAAAATGAGATCTTTTCATTTTTTACTCCAATATGTACAATAAAGCATACAAGAAATAAAATCACACCTTTGTACACTTGATTTAAAATTTGATTAAGCCATCTTTCCCCTTTTCCTCTGAAAATATTTTAGTTTGAGAAAATATTTCTCTTGCCAGATTATTTTTACTTCAAGAACATATTAGAGCCAGACTGTGGAGGGAAAATATCAGAGCTGGAAAATATTTGCTAGACTTCTGCCAAAGAGAAAGAAACACCAAGAAAATGAAATGGTGTTTTAGATGTTCATTTTGGCGTGATTTGGACACTCTGGTATACATTTTGAAACCTTTCCTCACTCTTAGGACAATGAAATGGCAAACAGCACTGAAACAAGGCTGCCCATGCGTATTTTCATTAAGCTTGCCTTCTTTTTTATTTTTTGTTTTTTTGAGACAGCGTCTCGCTATGTAGTTTAGGCTGGCCCTGAACTCACTATGGTGCCCTGGCCTTGACTTTGTTGTGATCCTCCTGCCTCAGCCTCCCAAGTTCTGAGTTTATAGGCATATGCTACCACACCCATCGAGCTTGCCTTCTTATGGCTGCTGCAGTGACCAGTCCAAGCACGATAGATGGCCAGGGTTTCTGGACACACAATAGGAACATGAGGAACTTCCAAAATTGCTAATCATGTGACCTTTGTATCTCCTTTTCCCCATCTTTCAATGGCTGAAAGGGCTCTTTCATGGTAGAAAAAATTTTTTTTGAAATTTTACAGAATTTGCTAATTTGAAACAATGTGCTTCATTCTACTCAGGTCTATTTCAGATATAATAAAACAACTAGAGATAAGAAAAGAAGGGCTTAACACTTCCCACTGCTCCCGTGGAACTCTATGTCGGAGAGGGACAGACAGACAGAGAGAAAGAGAGAGAGAAAGAAAGATGAAGAGATAATAAATAAACATAGCTTTTGTAACTGGAGGGAAAAAACATCTCAATGTTATTTGAATTCTGTAAAAAGTTTCTTTTCAAATAGTATGTAAAAATTTACCTTACATTCAACCATCAAGACAATGTCACTGCTCTCTAAAGTAAAACTGAAATTAATAACAATGGCTTAAAATTTAAAACCCAGCACCAAAAATAAATAAATAAATAAATAAATTCCAAGCACCAAACATGGAAAAGCACACAGGCAGGCACGGGTCTTACTTCCTCTGCAGCGTCTGAGGACGGGGCAGATGCTGAGCATGGTGCTCACTACTGGCAGCTGACGTAAACCCTCTTCACACCCCCATCCCGTTCCCCCCAGTCTTGAGGACAGGAACCGGAGATCTTGTCTCCCGTACAGGACTGCACAGCAGAGCCATTTCACACCCAGCTCCACCTGATGCAAAGCCTATCACCCACACAGAACGTGCTTTTCTTATTGGACATCCCACTGACTACCACACAGGTCTCACCGAAATAACTTCCCTTCAGAAAGGTACTAAATAGACACCAAAATGCATGAATCTTCCAATTAAGCCCTTTCTACAGTAGCAACTCCTCGATAAATTATTCAAGATAAACCTGTGTTTATATGTATTTACACATATTTAAAAATAAAAACTAAACTTCATATTGATCTTGATACCATCTAGACTATATCAACTAAGTAAGACTAAATTCTACATAAGTATCACTTTGAAAACAGTAAGACAGACCGAATAAAATAAATACCACCCAGCCTCACCTCACTTTTGTGTGATTAAAGGAAAAAAGATTCATGAAACTATCACACTCAGTTATGCCTGAAAATAAAATAGCAAGATACTGCTTTTCCTCCTTGATGAAATGTAGACATCATCTTCATCCAACGATTCCCTCCCAATAGAGCTATTCTCTTATTTGATTTTATTTTTAAAAATGCTTCAAAGAAAAGATATACACAAAAGTCCATTAAACCAATGAAACAAACAAATGCTGAGACTACATAAATATCTTATAACACCATACTATTTTTTTAAAATCTCAAAATATGAAAAAGATTAGTGTTTGTATTTTACCTTCCTGGAATCTTGTCTTGATGGGATGTAAATATAATGTCCCAAGTGAGAGTCACATGGTACAGTGTGCGGTCTCTTTTCACAGACCCTGGCATCAGGTCCATCGCCACAATTTTCCTTCACTGAAGAAGTCACTGACACATTAAGTTTCATTAGCTCTCCACTCAGTTGATCCACAAGATGTTGCTGTTCTATTATTTTTTCATTCTTTGCAGAAGAGATAAGAATTTTAAAAAATAGAGAAATTCAGTACATGTACACATTATGATTAGAAATGAATTTTACATTGACCAAAATCAAAACTACCTTAACAGTCCTGTCAATCTCATTTATCCGAAGACTAGCCATCCGGTATTCACAAGCAATTAGTACTGTTCTGAGAGGGAAAACCCTTTTGAATAATAAGCAGCAACAAACAGCCCAAAAGCCAGGTAGACACTGTGATTGGGTACTTTGCCACTGTGCTTAGAGCAATTTAATTAGCTGTATTATGCACTTTCTGAGTGAAAGAAGCGACAAGTGATGAAGGTAAAAAGCAGAGGAAGCCACAGACACCAGAGACTATAGCAAAGGTGGTGGAGAGTGGTAACAGGTGCGGTGAAGTGAAAGTCTTTATGCACTGGCAAAGGAAAGGGTAGGAACAGCCAGCTGACAGGCCTAAGAGGGTGAGATCTGGGAAAAGTCAGAACAGTTGTGCATTAGATGTGAGTGCACACATGTGGGTGTCTGTGTGTTTGTACTTTTTCATGCACCCTCTAAAGAAAAGTTGTGAAGTATATCCAATCTAGAAAGCTCTAACTTCAAACTTTGTTTTATATGTATAAACTATGTAAACAAAAATTGTCATTCATCTTAATACTTTACATGTTCTACAACATTTAAATAGGGGCAAAAAATCCCTAGGCTTTCACTGTTAATAATGAACAATAAAAATGCAACCTTATTACAAATCATGCATTTGGGCAATTAAAATATATAACACAATGGCATCATTTAACAGTGTTAAATGCAGTCCTTATGTTGCCTGAGAAAAATGTAGAAGTATTAGTTGACATGAGATTTTAGGGGCTAGGGATTTAGCTCAGCGGCACAGCACCTGCCTGGCAAGCGCAAGGTTGTGAGTTCAATTCCCAGTACCGGAAAAACAAAACAAAACAAAACAAAAAGACATGAGATTTTTAAGTCAGGATTTCCTGGTATACTCGCTAGAATAACAACTGAAAAACAGAGTTAAAGCACAACTTGTTAGTTAATGGATTAAAAACAATAAAAATAAAAAACATCTAATTGATCCAAAGAAGGTAAGAAAGGAGGGGAAAAGGCACATTGAGCAGGAAGAATAAATAAAAAGAACAAAAGTTGATTTTAACCAAAATGTAAAAGTAGTTATGTCACATTCAGAAATGAATTAAATCATATAATTAAAAGATGAAGGCTAGCAGAAAAGATTGTACAAAAAGAAAAAGTTCAACTGAAATTGTTTTTCAAAATTCCAAAGCCTTATACAAATAAAATCACTTGTATAATAACATAGAAGATTTTGTTCTTTGGCTCACTGGGGAAGTGGTCATCATAATTTAAAATTGTAGGAAATTGCTGGACGATAAAACACAATATAAATGTGTTACGGAATAAGTAAGTCTCAAGACTGAAATAAATTCCACTCAATGAGAGTTAAAAAAAGGATTGTAAAAGGAACTGTAGGCTGCTTAGAATAAACACAGATTAAAAATAAGACAATAAAAGAAAAACCATATACACATCAAAGGAAAGCTTACTGGTGCTGGGGATTTAGCTCAGCGGCACAGCGCCTGCCTGGCAAGCACGAGATTGTGAGTTTGATTCC